GGGGTCGGGCCTAAAGCAGAGGGCGGGGCGGAAGGGAGCAACCTACCATTCTTTATGCAGAAAAAAGAACGGGGGGGGGGCAGAGACCCAGGGCCAATCAAGCCCCCCCCAGGAGCGGCTAAGAAATGGGGTGCAGGGAGGGGGGGCGCCCCCAGCAGGAGACCCAGAGCCCCTGATGGTCCCGCCCTCCCCAAATGTGAAGCCTTTAAAGCCCCCCCCCAGTGAGTGTCCCCCCACCACGGCTTGTGATGAGGGGGGAATCCCACCGAAGATGGGGGTCCCCCTTGCTTCAGCCCAGGTTTTGCTGGGGAGGGGGCAAGGAGATAAGGGAGGGGGGGAGAGATGCCAATGCTTGCCTCTCTCTGGCTCCAGGGAAGCGGGCTCCGAGACGCGAGTCAGGGCTCCGAAGGGCACGTGAGGACGCGGGACTCCTTTGACGGAGGGGAGCCCCATTCAGACGTCGCCCAAAGGGCCAGGAGAGCCTCGCCCCCTCCTCTCCGGCCTGCCCGGGAGCAGGACCCCCCCCCTTTCGCCTCCCCGGCAAAGCAGGAGCGGAACCTGCCCCGCTGCAAGCGGCTCCGCAGGCCTCGCCCGCGGCACCTCGCGCTCCCAATCCCGGGACACGTGGACGGCGCCGGAGCCGCCGCGGGACCCAGATCCGGACGGGCCCCGCCAAGAGAGAGAGAGAGAGAGAGAGGGCAGCAGCCGCCGCGCAAGAACCCCCCGCCGGGGGGCAAAGCCGGAGAAGCCGCAGCCTTCCCACGACCGGCTGTCACGGGTCAGCCAGCCAGCCAGCGAAGCGCTCGTGCGAAGCCGCCCTGCGAGCGCAAGTAAGGCCGGTCGGGGAGGGGACGGGGGGGGGGACCGAGGCCGCCGACTCTGCGCCCCGGGACCTCGGCAAGGTCAAGGCCCGGACGCCGAGGGGGACACAGTTTTCCCGGCTCCCCGGACGCCGCTGCGAGGACTTCGCTTCCTTTTTTCTCTCTCTCTCTCTCTCCGTTCCTCCTTTGGGCGCAGACGGGCAGGGCGAGGGCGCCCCGGGGCATGTGCAAAGCGCCCCGCTCTTTCCCTCCCTCCCTCCCTCCCTCCCTGCCGCCGCAGGCTCACCGGGCACCTGGACGTAGAGGGAGGCGAAGGCGGCCAGGAAGGCGGCGGCCAGGCCGCGCAGGAAGAGCTGCCGGGCCAGGCGGGGACCCTCCGCGGCCATGGCGCGCTCGCTCGCTACAATGTAGCCGCTGGGGGGGCGGGGACAGAACGCGGGGACGGGGA